TTTGCTTCGAGCCCTGTGTACAGGAGCTGCATGCTAAAAGATCTTTTGTTAAAAGGGTTGGCGTAATAAGCAAATGCTTCAGCCAATACCTTTTGATTAGCCTTGTCTTGTGCTTTCTTGCTTTGTGGTAAATCTTTGTTCTGTCTTCACTGAGATATTTGAATGCTAATCAATAAACATATCAATATATAAAAGGTAACATTCAAGCACGCACCTTCATCTGTTATCTGGCAGTTATATAACACAAAAAAAGGGAGGGGAAAAACAAGTGAGGTTTTGTTTGTTTGTTCCTCCCCATTTGGCACAAGAAACTGACGATACCAAAGATGTAGATGCAGACTATAATCTTCTTGCATGTTGTACCCAGCGTCTGATTGAGTGTATGTATTTATTTTCAAAGGTTCACACAGTAGTTTCTTCATCTCAGGAGCGTTTGGGACTCTCCCACAGCGACTCATCGTTACGTCGCCAGCAGACGTTCCACCAGGCCGTCTCAGCCTCTCACTACAGCTTCCCCGAGGTGGCAGCCCTGGCGTCCGGCTCGGCCGCTGCTGCCGCCCCCCCCAGCCTATATACCTACCCGGCCTCTACTGCCCTTTCCTCAGCCTCTCAGGCCACGGAGCAGCTGCTGGGCCGTGGTCACAGCACCCACGGACACTCCCCCTCCGCTTATGCAGCAACGTACACCTCATCCTCCTCCAGGAGAGACTCGGCCAGTCGCAAGGACTCGGTGAGCAGCCTGCTGCACGGCCTCCCTGCAGCCTACCAGCATCAGTTCGCCACTGGTTCTCCTTATGTTAGTGTGACGCCCCGAACCGAGGTTTACAGTGCCTACCAGCTAAGCCCTAGGCGCCTCGCGCAGTATCCATATTTGTAGGAAATCTCGCACAGAGAATGGGGGGGGGGTCACTTCCCCATATAATATCACAAAGGGACATTTTAAACTGTAGAGTAACTGTTGGTCACTTATTGTTTGCTGCTTTGAACTACAAGACAGCGTTTCACCTCTAGCACATTTATATGCTCTTACGGACTCTTAGTGTTATTGAAATGATCCTCTGTATTATTTATGTATCTTTTTTTTCCCTTTTAAATTGTTTATGGTCCGCATTTTATCCCCATTGTATCCTGATGTATTAATATGGTGTTGTTGAAACATATTTTACAGCTGTTTTATCTCGAGGTTATCTGTGAAGAGAGATTTTCCTCCTGTCACAAGCTGCAACGAAACTTGAGCTTCAAGACGCTGACTTGCCAGACTGGTGAAGCTGACAGTTTTTAGTTTTATTTTATTTCTCTTGTTCCTTCCTGTGAGCCTTATTACAAAGTTTTCACACTAATCCACTGAGGCCCTGTGTTTTTAGTGACATAATAATGACTGTACCTTACTTATGTATGTTTACTCATATATGTCTTCTGTTTATTAAATTAAGTTTTAATGTCTGTGCGAGGTAGGAAGAGCGAGGTCCATGAAGATGTGGATTAAAAGAAGAGATACGGTGAAAACTGATGGATACGTGTTAATTTAAGTGCACATGTGATAGTCTGTTAATGTAGTGACAGTGTTTTTTTTTTTTTGTTTGTTTGTTTTTTTTAGCCAGGATTGATTGTCCTTATGCAATAGAATCTCTTTAAAAACAAAAAAACAACAACAACAAAAAAAAAAACCCTACAATAACTGAGTGCTGAATGTATTTATGAAATTCAGAGTGGGATGCCCAGTCTGGGAAATGATGTGAAAAACTGTTTTTAAATTGTAAGAGCGGGGAAATCAAATGTCGTTGAAATAAATATTTTTTAAAAAAAACCTCACATGGCCTGGGGAGGGGGAAAAAAGGTGAAAAACACACCTCTCCATAACAGGAGATTTTCCTTTTTTTTTTTTTTTTTTTTT